TCGTCAGCATTTCAGAGTGCAACCATGTCTCAGACACAATCGCTACATGAGGGTCATATTCAAGTAAGGCAATTTCCATGAGTTTAGTCTTGTTGCTTACGCTTCGGACATTCACAGTAACCAATCGGAGACACTTTTGTTCTGAGCGCTTCACGCGAATATTGGAACGTTTACTTTTTGTTGACCGAATCCACGAAGAAATCGTAAAATGACCTCATAGGTCTTGATAAATGACTAGGCATATCGTCTGGTTAGCGGACGATTGCTGCTTCCGTCGTTTTTTTAAAGCGGTATTCTTTCTCCCTTTTCACAGTCCCAGACGTATGCTCGGTTATTTATGTACAGTTTGTCAAAGGCCAAGTTTACCCTTTTGTTATTATCTCGGTTTGCTTTGGCACTTGTCCAAAGCTTTTTCTAATGTATCGTATTCTTGGGGAAACGTCTTCACCGATAGCCAATGTTGTGTTTTTAGGTTTAGATCCTTTCTTTAGTATTTTAGCCTTGTCTCGCCAATCAAGCAACTTAAAAATTACAGGCCTAACTTTGCCGGCTTCAGGTCTACCTGTGCGATGAATACGCTCTATGTTAACAGGTTCTAGCTCCATGATGTCACCTAAAATGCCTTTGTTGACGGTGTTTTCAAGAGTTTCGTTGTTTTCATTTACCGTCTCAAGAAGACCGTAAACAATTAAATTGGATCGCCGACTATGATTTTCTAGGTGCTCAATTTTTGTTTCCAGAACAGTAATTGTTTGTTTCAATGTTGACAACTGGTTCTGACTGGCATTTACCTTTCTTTCGAGCCCAGATAAAGCATATAGCTTCTTCTCAGCCTCTGACAGTCGCTTCTCCTTATTTCTTTAAGATCGACCGCAATAGCTTCCAGCATTTTAACAATTTGCTCCAGGTCAGGGCCCGGGTTCATCTCCATATCGCCACAGATTAATAACAACTTCCTAAGTACAATTTCAGCGTGGCACAACAAACAGCACAACCATGGGCACGGCAGCACATGCGAAAATGGATCGTCAGAGCGGACACATTTCCCATATTGTTTTCTCACCTGAAGAAGAAACACGAATGGATTACGGACGGTCCTCATGCTGGCACAGCCGCCGCGCCCAATGGTCGAGATGGCCGCTGGACGTGAACTTATAGTTGAGTTGCATGGGGCTGCCGCCTGCCAGTCAACCACGGCACAGGCAGTCGCTTGGCCACGACGCAGGCTGTCCCAGGGCGTTGATACTCGCAGATCAGGCACGCACCAGATAGGAGCATCGCAGGCATATGCAGATGTCGTTTCGCAGCTCTCTGAGGACCGGCACGAACTGGCAGCAGAAGGTTGATGATCTGGAGAAGAAACACGAATGGATTACGGATGGTCCTCATGCTGGTACAGCCGCCACGCCCAATGGTCGAGATGGCCGCTGGACGTGAACTTATAGTTGAGTTGCAAGGTGCTGCCGCCTGCCAGTCATCCACGGCACAGGGAGTCACTTAGCCACGACGCAGGCTGTCCCAGGGCGTTGATACTCGCAGATCGGGCACGCACCAGATAGGAGCATCGCAGGCATGCGCAGATGTCGTTTCGCAGCTCCCTGAGCACCCGGCACGAACTGGCTGCAGAAGGTCGATGATCTGGAGAAGAAACACGAATGCATTACGGATGGTCCTCATGCTGATACAGCCGCCACGCCCAATGGTTGAGAAGGCCGCTGGACGTGAACTTATAGTTGAGTTGCATGGTGCTGCGGCCTGGCAGTCATCCAAGGCACAGGGAGTCGCTTGGCCACGACGCAGGCTGTCCCAGGGCGTTGGTACTCGCAGATCAGGCACGCACCAGATAGGAGCATCGCAGACATATGCAGATGCCGTTTCGCAGCTCTGTGAGGACCCGGCACGAACTGGCAGCAGAAGGTTGATGATCTGAAGAAGAAACACGAATGGATTACGGATGGTCCTCATGCTGGTACAGCCGCCACGCCCAATGGTCGAGATGGCCGCTGGACGTGAACTTATAGTTGAGCTGCATGGTGCTGCCGTCTGCCAGTCATCCACGGCACAGGGAGTCACTTGGCCACGACGCAGGCTGTCCCAGGGCGTTGATACTCGCAGATCAGGCATGCACCAGATAGGAGCATCGCAGGCATGCGCAGATGTTGTTTCGCAGCTCCCTGAGCACCCGGCACGAACTGGCGGCAGATGGTTGATGATCTGGAGAAAGAAACATGAATGGATTACGGATGGTCCTCATGCTGGTGCAGCCGCCGCACCCAATGGTCGAGATGGCCGCTGGACGTGAACTTATAGTTGAGTTGCTTGGTGCTGCCGCCTGCCAGTCAACCACGGCGCAGGCTGTCGCTTGGCCACGACGCATGCTGTCCCAGGGCGTTGATACTCGCAGATCAGGCACGCACCAGATAGGAGCATCGCAGGCATGCGCAGTTGTCGTTTCGCAGCTCCCTGAGCACCCGGCACGGGCTGGCGGCGGAAGGTTGATGATCTGAAGAAGAAACACGAATGGATCACGGATGGTCCTCATGCTGGTACAGCCGCTGCACCCAATGGTCGAGATGGCCGCTTGACGTGAACTTATAGTTGAGTGGCATGGTGCTGCCGCCTGCTAGTCATCCACGGCACAGGCAGTCGCTTGGCCACGACGCAGGCTGTCCCAGGGCGTTGATACTCGCAGATCAGGCACGCACCAAATAGGAGCATCGCAGGCATGCGCAGAAGTCGTTTCGCTGCTTCCTGAGCACCCGGCACGAACTGGCGGCAGACGGTTGATGATCTGGAGAAGAAACACGAATGAATTACGGATGGTCCTCATGCTGGTACAGCCGCCGCGCCCAATGGTCGAGATGGCCGCTGGACGTTAACTTATAGTTGAGTTACATGGTGCTGCCGCCTGCTAGTCAACCACGGCACAGGCAGTCGCTTGGCCACGACGCAGGCTGTCCCAGGGCGTTGATACTCGCAGATCAGGAACGCGCCAAATAGGAGCATCGCAGGCCTGCGCAGATGTCATTTCGCAGCTCCCTGAGCACCCGGCACGAACTGGCGGCAGAAGGTTGATGATCTGGAGAAGAAACACGAATGGATTACGGACGGTCATCATACTGGTACTGCCGCCGCGCCCAATATAATTCTTCTTCAACAACGTTAAATTAGAAACCTTCAGCTTTGGCCACGACCTTCTTTGTATGCTCATTGATTTCTTTCTAAGACGTGCGTGGCAACAGTTCTGAATGAATATAATAAAAAGGCCTTCGCTGTAACTCGCATGACTGTTGTAAGATTTTTGTATTTTGCCAGGTTTACCATCAGCCCGAAGGTTTTGACATGAGGCACCGTCTTATTAGTTATTTCGTGAAGAAAGCTACATCTTCGTTCGCCAGCCACAATCTTGTATCTAGCAGAGCCTCCGCCTTTCTTATTGCCGACAATAAGGAATAAGATGAGGAATCTTGTGATAAAAATGCCCCCACGTTGTCGTGGTTCGCTCTTGTTTAGTCACTAATGTCCCCATGGCGTCGTTCATAACAAGGGACACATTCTATACTTTGGCTTCACAGCTCCACGTAAAAAAAAACGGTGATGCGGTCTTACACTCCGAGGCATTTTTCCGGGTCTTCGATTGCTGATTCACGGAAAGTTGGCGGCTGTCTGGGCTGTAACTCGACTGGAGTGGGTGCCATCACAGTGGTGGTCTGCCTTTGTACAGTCTTGCTCATTGCCTTGGTCTTACGCGTATAATTTGCTAAATGGCCTTACTCTGGTGGTTTGCTACCTGCGCATAGCTTGCTTTTGAGGGTTGGCGCGGATGTCTTCTTTGTTACATGGGCTGTTTCCCCACGTCAGTAACATCAACTGAGAACACTTCTACCAGATGTCCCATGGCCGTTACGCTATAAGACATGGTCCTCGGGATAATAAAGTCTAAATTATTTATTGGCCTTGTGATACAAATATTATGTATAACTGATAGGTATGTCCACGAGTAGTGTTATTCAAAGTGTCTCTTGTCAGTATTTGGATCTGCGGTTAGGTTCACCGGATCATAAACATGCGATGGTGATTTCCAGCTTCATCAGCGGTGGCCTCTATAGTTTCAGAATAACCTACATTTTCCGCGTTTGGCACTCATCTTTCCCATAAAGTTATTTTGAAAGTATTTAGCGGAAATAGAGGGCGTTATACAATGAGAAATATACAGAAGGAAGCCCCTTTGAATAAACACTGCAGTGGCACTTCATGTTATAAGATACGTAAAATAAAAGTGAAATTAGGAGCAAGAACAGTGAAATATAAATGAGCACAGAATAGACACAGCAGCATGGGGGGGGGGCGATGACAATAACACATCTAATATAGAAATTTGTTTGCAAAACAAGGTATGGGATCAGTAATGGTTAACAGAGTATTACGTATACAATACTTAGGGCTGTAGTACTAAAAGGTTTTTAATATAAAATATAATGTAGTGAGCGCAAGTAAATAGTACTTGAAATGCAGTCAGGGAGCGACAAAAGAATAACGAGACTGATCTCACAAAATCAAAAGATTAGAACACTGATTCAAATAATGAAACGCTGATTGTTAGAACTCATATTGGTGAAATGAAAGTTTCAGATTCAACAGGCATAGTTTTTCACAACCTGATTGCATAAAACCGACAGCAAATAATCTTAAATTTGCGTGCCTTCTAGACACTCTAAATTATTTGAGAGTGTTTCATAACACCCCGGTGGGACGTGTTGGAGGCAATTGTTACACCTGTAACACTTTGTATAAAATAGAAAAAAAAGCTCCTTTTTCACTATTATTCCCACTTTGTCATAAAAATGCTCATGCTAATAAAACGTGAAGTTATTACTTCTTTTGATGTTTATGTACTACAGCTTTTGTGAAATACAAAGTACGGACGAGTTTGTGCTATACAATCAGCAATTTCCAGTGTATGAATATGGAGTTGACTACTTTACACACTGATTCTTTAGGTACTCAACACAAGCCTGCCACTGTACTTGTACTATACCTGCAGCAATATATTTGTTCAAAATGAGTGTACGAAGAACATTTGCATCGTTGAAACTTACACCTGTATAAACATGCGTAAGAATATGCTCACCAACTACACCTACAATTTTACACTCTCAACGCGGAAAAACGTATCAATGTGGTAAGAACATTCCTCTTTTTATTTCGTATGCCTGCTGGCTCATTTTCGCGTCATGATGCTAGTAGTGTCTGATTGTTTTCTCTGTAAATTGTTAATTAAAGTGTCATAGATGTCATAAAAATAAATGAATATAAGTTCATTCTAGCGTGATCAAAGTAGCAGTGTTAAGCACAAGTAGCGACAATAACAGAGGATATATGAATAAAACTAAAGCTGAAGATCATTGTGCCGAGAGAAATTGCGGCCCCGCCGTGGTGGTCTAGTGGCTAAGGTACTCGGCTGCTGACCCGCAGGTCACGGGTTCAAATCCCGGCTGCGGCGGCTGCATTTCCGATGGAGGCGGAAATGTCGAGGCCCGTGTGCTCAGATTTGGGTGCACGTTAAAGAACCCCAGGTGGTCAAAATTTCCGGAGCCCTCCACTACGGCGTCTCTCATAATCATATGGTGGTTTTGGGACGCTTAACCCCACAAATCAATCAATCAATCAAATTGCAGGTGAACTACGCTGAAAAACTTGTGAAGGATGCATCAAGTTAAACAACTGTTTAAAATATAAGAAAATAGTGTCTTGTGAAAAATAAGATTAAAGTGGGATTCGCTATTGTAGTTCCAATGATGAAGATAGCAATGCGGGATGTTCGTCATAACAACATCAAGACAATAGAATAAGCATATCAAAGGAATCGATTACAGTGTCAGCGGGCAATTTATGGGATAATAAGTACCAAGAAAATGCAGTGGAAAAAGAAAAGGGACGTGGGAACAATTAATAATACACCATATGTGCTGCGCAATGTCTTACAGACCCAACTCCGTGTTGAAATGGTTTTTATGCGTGGCACTCAGCGAGCACAACCCTGCTCTGTACTTTTTGCTTTGAGCAAACACTTGCGACCCGCATTGACACATTTATGCAAAGTTGATAAGGATGCTAAGATTTTGGGCTCACTAGACAGGCCCTACACATTAGCGTGTTAGGAGTATCTAGTGGGTCATCATAACTTGAGCAATGCATTTACAGTAGAGTCATGTGCTTACCAAGAGGAAGCGCACGCTATGGAGAAACCATGTGTTTATCAGAAGCAGCTGGCGTAGGCGTATCGCGGAAAGCTTAACTATCCCTTGCGAAGGCTAGTCGGTCATAAGTAACATTTCTTTACATCGATATAAAACAGAATAATCACAGCTTTTTTCAAAATTAGCGTTATTTCTAACATTTCTGGAAGTAGTTTAAGATGACTGTTATTGCTTAGTCATGGCGCCTATGACTGAAATGCAGAAGACCTGGGTTAAACTGCGAGTAATTTTGTACTATTTAGTTTTATCAAAATTTTCCAGAAGCTGATAACGCCGCCCACGCGGACACGCGTTTTCTGCGAGATGGGCTCGATAACCTCTTTGTGTCAAACTTCCATGAAATAATGAAATGTGCCACATAAGCTCATACCACCGGTCGCGGTATGCTGGTTAGGGCCAAACATCATTACTAGCTAGTAATTCATAACATGAGTGGTAGAAACGAGACACTATTCATGTCTCCACCCGCGAATTCCATTTGTGACAAACTTACGTCATCCTAACGACATAGGGGATATTCAAAATGTACATCGCCAACTGTCCATGACACCGTAAGGTCAATATGCTATGGCCAGCTGCGCACGACAACGAAGCCAGTCTGATATCGCAGCCTTTACGGTACAAGATGCTGAGTGTTTATACTAACTCTCTCATTATTCTCATTGCTTCGTGTGCTGTTAAGACAATAAAAAAGCCTTGAGAAATCCGGGAAAAGGTAGGACATACTGCAAGCGATTTTATCAATTGCATGAACAAAGAAAATAACATACTGACACACATTTCTCTCGTCAACATATCGACAAATTCGGAAGGGCAGGCACGCCCAACACCATCTAACCTTATTTCGTATTACTCTGGGCAATTTAAGTGCTCAACTGCAACGCAGCTACAAGTGCAGAAATATATATTACGACATAATCATTTTAAAACAGACGGCTGACATGCACGCGCGCGAGAGCCCATGTTTGATCGACGTGGCGTATCGGTGTCGCAGATTGCAACAGCAAGGCCCAATTAATAAATTTGAAGCATTTCGCAGTGAACTAAAGCGACTTGAAGCGTATCTATCTATCTATCTATCTATCTATCTATCTATCTATCTATCTATCTATCTATCTATCTATCTATCTATCTATCTATCTATCTATCTATCTATCTATCTATCTATCTATCTATCTATCTATCTATCTATCTATCTATCTATCTATCTATCTATCTATCTATCTATCTATCTATCTATCTATCTATCTATCTATCTATCTATCTATCTATCTATCTATCTATCTATCTATCTATCTATCTATCTATCTATCTATCTATATACCTAGCCACCTACGACTTTTATCTTTCGTGCTTATTTAGTTTATGGTATTGGTACCAAACTTGGTATGGCATAACATGACTTTATGAAGAACATATTTGATGAAAATTATGACGTGGATGTCACGAATGTCATGAATTACATTTCAAGGTCTTGCAGCTCTTGTGGTGGTTTCGTTCACATGGTATGTTGAAACACTGCTATGGCATGACATGATCGCATGGCGAACACAAGCGACCGACCCAAAATGAAAAACATGACATGCGTGTCATGTAACAACATGACTAGATGCCACGCTCATGATGCGCTCACGGCCATTTCGCTAGCTTCATTTATGGCGAACTTTGTATTACGGGACCTGAATGGATGACGAAGATGTGTGACTGGTGCAAACATGATAATCATGAGATGCGTGTCATGTAACAACATCACTACATGCCACGCTCATGATGCGCTCGCTGGTGGCTGTTTCACTCGCTTCACTCATACCAAATTTGGTATTACGGGACGTGAACGGATGACGAAGGTATGTGACTGGTGCAAACATGATAATCATGAGATGTGTGCCATGTAACAACATGACTACATGCCACGCTCATGATGCGCTCGCTGGTGGCTGTTTCACTAGCTTCACTCATACCAAATTTGGTATTACGGGACGTGAACGGATGACGAAGGTATGTGACTGGTGCAAACATGATAATCATGAGATGTGTGCCATGTAACAACATGACTACATGCCACACTCATGATGCATTGGCGGCCGTTTCGCTAGTTTCACTTATGCCGAACTTTGTATTACGGGACGATAATGGATGATGAAGGTATGTGACTGGTGCAAACATAATAATCATGAGATGCGTGCCATGTAACAACATGACTACATGCCAAACTCATGATACGCTGGCGGCCGTTTCGCTAGTTTCACTTATACCAAATTTGGTATTACGGGACGTGAATGAATGATGAAGTTATGATACTGGTGCAAACATTGCGTGTCACGTAACAGCATGACTACATGCTACGCTCATGATGCGCTCGCAGCTGTTTCGCTAGCTTCCCATGTACCAAACTCGGTATTACGTGACAGGAACGGACGACATAAGTAAATGACACATCCAAGCATGATAATCACGAAGCGTTCCTTGTAACAACATGAATACATGACACACAGATGCGTTCACGGCCGTTTGGCTAGCTTCACATATGCTAAATTTAGTATTACGTGACGCCAATGGATGACGAAGAGAAGTGACTGGTGGACACAAGATAATCAGGAGATGCGTGTCATGTGAGAACATGGCTGCAAGCCACAATCAAGGGGCCGATACCTTCAGACGTGACGCGTTGCGCGTGCACGCCAGTGTTTATTTCGTCGTGTCCCGCCAGCGTTGTGACGCTGCCATATAATCGCAGGCCCGCGCCACTCTGCGTTGCTTTGACGCACGCGCGTTATAGCGCGTCCGGCATCCGTCAGTCACGAGAAGAGGAAGACGCAGTGTTGTCTGGGTAACGCATCGGCGCGAAATGCAGCATGTCGCATTTTGCGCCGGTTGCCGTCGGGCTGCGCCGATGAACGCTGCTTGCGCCTGGCGTCAGACTATAGCGTGTTTGTCTTTTGCTAACGTAGCGTCGCTGTGCCCAGCATGTGCGCGCGTGAAAGCTACATTGGAGTATAATGAGCCCGTCATGATGCGCTCGTGGCCGTTTGGCTAGCTCCACATATACGAAATTTCGTGTTACGTGACGTCAATGGATGACGAAAGTATATGACTTGTACTAACATGACAATCCTCAAAAGCGGGTCATGTAATACCATGACAACATACCACGCTCATAGCGTGCTCGCGGCCGTTTGGCTAGCTCCACATATACTAAATTCGGTATCACGTGACGTTATTAAATGATGAAAGTAAACGACACATCTAAACATGATAATCATGACACGGATGTAATGTACGGCATCATTTACCTCCACCTCCTAAAGGTCTGCTGATTTTAAAGTGATATATTAGCATTTCTCATTCGTTCTTCGCATATAATTGATTTTTACTATACGTGGAATCTGCCAATTTTTTTTTGTGCTCCCGTCTGTTTGCGCTCTCTTTACCACTCGGCTATATCAATAAGCTTTATTTTGTTTCCTTCAGCTTTTTTCGTTCATAATGCGCTAAGAACGCAGAGCGCTTGATTATGGAGGCGTACAGATTTTATGGCTGTAAATTAAATGGAGATATTTGCTAAGTGGATCATTGTACTAAATTCTGCGCTGATCAAGGACACAATACTTAAGAAAGATTAGCCAATGAACAAAAACTATAAAGGTTCAAGAACACCAAAATGACAACACCTAATTTGTAAGGTAGATTACGCCCAAAAGCCGTTATAAAAAACTAGTAAATACTAAATTAGCATTACTCGGAACCACTTCTCCGTATACAGTCAAAGGGTACGATAACTATTTTTGCATGGTTTGCGGAGCGCCCCTTATGCACATGTCCATGTCATCCTTATTAAAAAATTGTCAGCATAAGCACGGAGTGAATGATGGAAAGTGGGGCGAAGTATTCGTCCGTATGTTCGTTCTTGCTTCCGTCCGTC